AGACAAAGAAATACAAAAAGTACAACAAATAGAAAAAAGACATACTTGATTTATTTTTAAAATCATAGGATAACAGTAAATTTATTTTGAAAATTTTCCAAAAAAAAAGGATATTAAATTGAGTTCACTGATTTTTTTTTCACCAGACAGGTACTTAAACATTAATACTAAAAATTGATAATTGAACCAAAGCTAATCTACCATGCTAGCAAGACATACCTTAGAGTATTTCTATATTTCTATGGATTGCCATGCATTTTAGTAAAATCTAATATCTAATAAATAGTATTTACTTATCTACTGAAAGCATGGGGTAAGTTCTTGGTAGTGGATAATGTCAAGAGCATCCTGAGTCATTATTAAAATGTTAAAAGCCTCTCATCAAATTATTTAAACAAATGAAAATTTTCATTTTATTTTCACTCCTGATAATAAAACAGACTGAAAAAAGTGAAGTGGAGACGATTTCAATTTTTGCTATGGTAGTAGTGATTCTTATCAGATCATGCATTTATAAACTTTATACCCAATATTATATTAGATGGTGCTAAGGATAACAACACATGAGAATTAAGCTAAGATACCGCTGAATTTCAATTGTTATATTCTAGAAAGCAGTCTTAATATAGTTCTCTGACATTTTCAAATAAGGTATCTATTGCGACATATTTGCATTTAAATTATAATCATTGCCCATAGCTCAGCATAAAAAATGTTGACCACTGACTTATGCTTAATAGATATTAATACAATTAAACACTGAAATCCATTTATTTCCACGTTTCAAATTAAATAAAGGCACAAATTTGACTAAGAGAAGTACAATAACACATAAATTCCAGTATTCATCTCAAAAGTTTTAGCATTAAATTTAAATTTTATTTTTATAAAAATGTCTATAAAAAAAAAAATGATTAATTACAAAGCGTGCCAGATTCACATATTTTTAAAAATAAAATTTATATTTTAAATGGTAATTATTTAAATTTGTCAAATTTTTACCCTTGACTATTGACTAAGATACATTATTTATTTAGGAATTGTTAAAATGTGGTGTAGGCAGGTTTTTTGAAAAGCAAGGGTTACAGTAATCAAGTGTACGAGAAAAAAAAAATTTTTACCTTGACGAAAACAATTTATTAACCGACAGAAAAAAACAAGAGAATAACAAAATCAAAAGAATATTTTTTAAAAAAACACTCACCGACAGAACTTAACAAGCTGCCGCGCTAATGCTTACAAAACAATTCTATCCAGTGGGTTTTAAATCAGAATTTATAATACACTGTGCTCATAGAATTTATGAATTAAAAGAGAATATCAGATTACATCAGTCCTAGTTTGCAGTTAGCAAATTTTGGAGAGCACACACATAAATGGACAGTTACCAAACTCGAAAGTATATAAATGCATAAATTAATGGAAAAATTCAGAAACTTTTAGCATTACCTACACCGCATGACAATATCAACATTCATGGACACATTTTAAAAGATGTATTGGAAATGTACAACTTCATTCACAGCTTTTGTACTTGATTATAGTCAAAAAAATTAAACACACCAAACTGCAAAGTAATCATTCTTCTTACACATCAAATAGCCATTTGCAAATCAGTACTACTCTGGTGCTAAATTTAAAAAACAACAACTTTTTTTAAACAAAATACTTGTATGTTTTTATAATTTATTTTCTGAAGGGCTTGGTTTTAGAAAAATTGTTAAGAGTCTTATTTCAGTAAGTTGCTATACTATAAGTTTACCCAAAATCCATCCAACTGTCTTGATTGCTGCCTATGTATAATTGAGTTGTGGCAAGTTAAAATATTAATTCTGATTGTCACTAACTGTTGAAATATTTAATAATAATAATTTCTAGAATTTAGAGTTATAATCCTTTTACTGGTTCACTACCTTGAAATTAAACCAAAAAAATCCTATGAGGAAGTCAATGATAAGGATGTATTATAGAGTTGCTGCTTGTTTGATGTGTAAAAACTTTTGGTATTGTGTTAAAGCCTCTATATATGTCACAATGATTTCATTCTTCTTCACTTGCTCCACACATTGACAGACATTCTCAAACAACTAAAAATGGAACCACAAGCATCAGCGAAAATCTCATTGAACAAGTAGCTCCTTTAACACTTCCTTTCCCAAAACAAACTGTGACGTTAAATGACAAACTACTGCATTTTCAATATAGCATTTTAAATATCATTTCCCCCACCCAAACTCCTGGCATATAAAGTCAAATTAATGAATTGTAAAAATTTGCCTACAACATTCATTCAATCAAACATTCTCACATTCATTAAACAAGCTTCTTGGCCTCAAAGAAACTCTTAAGATGCTGCATCTGCCAGAAGCCTGTGATGAGGAGTATAAGAGTCTGAGCTATGGACCACCACAAGACACGCTGGTTGGTGCTTTCACTTGTTTGCCTGAATCTTTCCTCTCGATACTGAAGAAAGTTAGGATAAGTAAGGGCATAAATAACAAAGAGTACATTTTCAAGAGTTATATACCCTGAAATGTTAGACATTTAAACAGTGAATAGATGTTGGAAGGAAAAGGAGAAGTCATGCAGGATTAAAAAGGGCACACAATGAAGCCAGCTCTATATGGAGGATTAAATTCAGCTTGACTTTCATTTAAAATGGAAGCAGTTAATCTTTTTTGTTTTTGCGGTAGGAAACTAATAAATTACACTTTAAAATATGCTTTGATTTAAAATCAGTGTGTATCTTGCAAATGTAAGTTATTTTAACATACGATAAAATTTTAACAACTCAATCATTATGACTTGCAATAATATTGATAAATTTCTTCGATGTATCAGATATGATAAATTTGCCAAAGCTGTCTTAAAGGTAGCTTTATTTTTAAAGTAAAATTATGTTAAAAAACTAAGATCCCCAAAAAATTAAAATAACTGTTTTTCTTGGATTTCACATTCTGTTAAATATACTGTGAGTAATGTGACTAGCACAATCATACAAAAATCACTCAATATTGGAAAATAACTTGAAAAAAAAAATCCAATCAATAATATTTCTACCTACCCTCTGGTAGTTTTGTTCTTTAGTTATTTGTTCCACTTGGTCCAGAAGTTGTCTAACTCTGAGCTGAAGCTCTGTCAGTTTGTCCTTAGTCTGAACTTGCTGGTAGTCAATGGCATGTTCTCCAACATTGATGTCCAAATGAACCCTCTGGGACGAGAATATGGTACTTTACACACAAATTTCTTAAATAAATTCTGACAATAACAATCCAGCAGCAACAAATTAGATAATTTATTTGATTTTTAAGTTCATTTATTTGAATTTTAAGTTCATTTATTTGATTTTTAAGTTCATTTATTTGATTTTTTATTGATGCTGTGAAGTTTAAATATTGCTGAATGTACTGCATTCCACTTTAAATTGTATCAACTTTCCCTATCACATTCTTAATTTCAACACCAAGGTTTTCTAACTTTTATTTCAAGAAACAGGTTATTTTTTTAATTTTTGTTTTTAAATATTACTTAGTGAATTAAATGAAAAGAACACAAAAGAAGGAAAACAAATTATAATGTGCTAATCTAGATAACTTTTTGAGTAAGAAATATTTTATATTTCTTGTTAATATTTCCATCACACAGGCCACCTTGAGAACTAGCCTTGACTTGAACTATGTTTTGTTTAAAGTGAGGGTGAGTTGCTCAATTTGTCAGCCTCACTCTCACATCCTTGCCTATTTGTTCAAATGGCAAGACTTAGTCAAAGATGACTGGATCAAGATGCAGTAGATGGCCAGCAGTGTTTTTTGTGTCTCACTGTGCTCTTAATGGGTTCCATGACCCAGAAGTTGTCGATATTTTCATACTGCCTACCGGACTCTATCTCCATGTTTGATTTCAGGGTTTGCCCTCTCATAAATGAGTTGCCATCCAAGGTTAATGAATGCTATCCACCCTGGGTGCTGGTGTTGTTTTTTTGTTTGTCTAAACTTTTGCTGGGGATTGAACTCTAGTCGACAAGCTTGGAATTTACTCAGTCGCTCTGCCACCCAGCACCTTTAGCACATGATACTATGAAGCATCCAATCAATTTAAATACCAAAATATTTATTCTTGTTATTTCTGTTAATTTAATTAATTGATTTATGGTCTAATGCATTTTTTAAATTTCCATTTAATTTCATATTACTTTACTTTTTATCCTGAATTCTTCATTTAGATCATAAACTTGTCAAATTAGAGAAATGTGGGTAACAAATGCTCCTTTATCCGTTTTACAGTCAAGTGTTCAACTTAAGTTAGAAAATTTAAACATCCATAAGTACAAATAATAAAATGAAACTAATTGATCTAAAATTAGCAGATATCTTAGTATCTAGAAGTGGGCTAAAAGATTTATTTAAAGTTGTAGTAACTTAGATGGTAAGAGTATAACAACTTTAACAATTAAAACATGTGGGTTTAAGACATTCTGATTGTTTCAACTTTAAAAAAAAAAAAAAGTTATTAAGTTATCAAAATTAATTATCCTCAAGTTATTATTCAAAAACAGTAGTTGTCACAGGAATCTGTATTACTACAGCAAGAAAAATTAAATGTATTATCCATTTGCTATCAAATTCATCTTGAAAATTTTAACTTTTAAATAAATATTCGGAGCCGCATAAGTAGAAATAGTATTATTTGGCCAGGTGAATAGTTGAGAAAAAGAGGGATGATTTTCGGCCTATTTGTTCCATAGTAATTACCACTATGATTTTGAGCAAATATGATATGAAATTGCCTAAACTAGATGCCAGTGTAACATCTTATTGGTGCAGATTTTACAGAACTTCAGCAACTCATAGAAATTAGTTAACATCAGGGCAGAAAAAAATTATATATATTTTAAGTGTGTCTTTATAATATATACTTATTGGCCTCAAAGTGTTAATAATGTAATAGGTTTAAACATGCTCAACATTGTGATACAAAATATATAATCTATAACAAAAATCTATACAAGGTTTTCCTATTGCATGAAGAATTTTAAGAAATGGAAATCATTAAAAGAAAAAAACAAAACAATTAACCTATGACAATGTTCAACACCAATAAGGAATGTATGAAATTAATCCCAACAACTGATTAAAACAACTTTACATTTTATATTTAAATACTTACTAATTGTCCAGCATTGAACCATGCAGATGAATTTGAGTTGAGGCAGATGACATGTTCACCAGCTGTGTGTGACGTAAATGTAAATCTGCCTTCTGCAGCGTAGGTCTGAAATTGTGTCGCATCGTTAAAATTTCTTGAAAAAACATTCTTAATTATACACAAATATATTTTTAACTATCGATCCGTCAAGAATTGCTTATTACACTGAGTTCTATTCCATCACAGATCAAAATTAAAAAAAAAAATAAGATAAAAATTGACAAACTTTTCCCATCTACAGTCTTGAGATAAAAAGAAAACTTTAAATTAAAAAATAAATTATATAACCTACTATCTAAAAGAATCATAGAATTTTTCCACCACCATTTAAGCAGATAAAGATGTTTTTAATGTCTTTAAATATTAATTATTTTTAGCCAAGGAATTCTCTCAAGATTTCCCTTTTTGCCCTTAAATATTTCAACTTAATTTCAATAATGGTAGTATTTACTTTGCTCAAAATTATAATGAAATTATATTCAATAGACCATGCACATACACTTTATAGCATAATTATGTGCATTAAATAATGATCTATATATATATATATTAGAAGATATACCAGTGACCATGCATGCATGTAGTGTTTACTATAGTTTGAAAATGTAAAAAACAAATAAACCAGTAAAAAGAATGATTCAATTTATGTTCATGTTACTATTTTATTTTTCTTAAAACTATAATAAATTTCATCAAATCCATTATCAGTTTTATTTATTTAAGTTTTTAAAAGAGGCTATGGGTATTTGGTGCCAAGGATTAATGCAAAAAAAAAAAAAAATGTAATTTAAACCAAAATAATACCTGAATAATTTCTATTCTTTTGACATGTAATATTTAGAAAGTTTGTTCATCTTAATATTTGAAAATGCCCTCTTCCTTTAAATGTTAAACTCACCCTTGATAATACAACTTTATTTTCAGGATCAAAAACTTCTACATGCATGCCTATATCAGGTGAGACAGGCATGTAGTCTTTAGCATTGTGGTCAAAAGCTTGTACTTTATAATTACCTGCAAAAAGCAGATCAGATGGAGAAATGTACCTAAAAGTCTTTACAAATTGTATTCTCAGTTTGCACCTCGGAAATCAATTATCTCTTTTTGTTGTGTGTTATGCAATCTAAAAACCAAGCAATGTTAGTGGGGTCTAATAATTAGTATAGGAACCTAATTATTATTTAACAAAAACAAACACTGAACAATAAAAACAAGATATTTAAAAACCACAACATGGAGGTTTGTTTAGGTATTGGTGTTAGTTTCTCAAGAGAAGATCATATTTTCAGATTTAAAGTCACAACATTAGATTTGAAACAGGTTTATGTTCTACATGCTGAGACTCAATATTTTTAGCTGGATTGAAAAATTATCATAATTTAATTATAATTAGGAGTGGGGAACAATAACACTTGTTACATTTTAATCACAATACTGGCATATTAAAGTTCACATGTCATCCATGCCATGTAAAGGAACTTCCCATTATTGAATTACTGCTGGCATAAGTTATACTTGAATTTACTCATTTTCCTTAATAACAATGTCTCTAGAATTTAAGTTGATTTGATGCATTTGGAGCTCTGAGTTCACAAGATGCCGATAGCTTTTAGAAGAAAAAAAAGAGAGCTCCAAAACACACATTTGGTTGACATATTTAGTTATTGATTGGAGGATTAGTGTTTTAAGAGAGGAGGTGTGCCAAATATGAAATTACTAATCTATAAAAAAATACTATATCATCTTCATATGCCACAAAGGTAAGTTGGTTATGATAATGACTAAAATATTAGTGAACAGGCTGGTAAGCTTGAGCTAACAACAAACATGCGGGGATGCACAGACAGGCATCATAATAGGGCAAAAGCCTTGTGGCTTACCCTTGATAACACTATACGATCATCTGGATCTCTACATTCAACATGCATGCCTAGCCCATACATGGTTGGGACAAAGGCATTTATGTTTTTGTCAAACATTTCCACTTTGTAGTTGCCTGAAATAGTAGGAACATTTTAAACACTGAAAAATTACAGCAATACACACTAGAATACTTATTGATGTCAAAGAATTGATTTAAGTAATGGAACATCCCTGTAAAATAATTCATTGTAAAATGAATCATGGATCATGGTAAAGATCATGGTAAAGTTAAAAATGATCAAATGAACATGTACATTAAATAAAGTATATATTTTGTGACACATCTGTAAATAAATTGAATCAACTTTTTAGTGCAGTCTTAGTGTTAAGGCAAACAAAGCCTCTATAAAATTTTATGAATTATATCGGCTCAAGGGAGGGTTGAGAGTATATTTTCTGGTAGGATCATAAATAATAACATTCAACCAGAGGGAATAATGATAACTTGAACAATTCTTTTACCTTAATGATTTTTTTAAAATTTTACTGGCTCATCATAATATTTGGGAGTCTTATATGAATAATAAATATGATTAAGAAGGATGGTTTTAAAAGATGTCAATTATTTTAGATTAGTGGCACATCTAAGGTAAATGGCACCTTTAACAAGCAGTAAAATTGTACCCCTGTTAAACATCAGACATGTATTCCTAAACAATGTGAACCCTTAAATTCATCAATACTGCCTCTCCTGACATCAACAATGACCACATGTGGAGCATGATGTGGTGGAACAGCAAAGCTGACAAGACTATTGCAGTGAAAGCATAATTTATGGTTTATTATTTTAAAAAATGAAAACCTAACTAACAGTTTCATTTCTAATATATTTTTCCACCCAAAATAAAATCCAAAAGAAGTACAAAATTCAAAATCTATCATTTTAAATCACAGGCAATTTATGTTTTCTGTGTCACACTGAGTTTCTGTGTAGGATTCTTTCCCCTTAGCTAAGTCGCAGATTGTTACTAGAGTTAACTATTCTATTTTTTAAAATATTAATACAACTATTGACTGTTTTTGATGAATGGATTTTTAAAATTAATATTTCATATGGCCATTAATTATAATATTTCAAAACAAGGCTATTTAGTCATTGTGATCGTCTGATCATTTTGAAAAATGGATTTAGACTTATCTGACATCTTTTGGATTTATAAAGTGTGTAAATGAGTACTAAAAAAGCTCTAAGTTGGGTTTTCATTATTTTAAAGAGTAATTGTAATCATTTTATTCAAATTTACAATGTTCTCTGTACAGTGTATAACTGTAGCAAAAGCACATGTAGTTTTTTAGGGTTGTCGTTAATTCATAGATTTTAGGTTAGAAGATTTACGCTCAAGTTAGGGAGGACTTAATTTAGGGGTGAATTAAAACTTGAGCTAGTGGTAATGACTAAGCAATGTTTTTGCAAATTTTAAACTTTTTAAAAATGAAAATTTGTTGAATTAATCTCATTTCCGATTATTTATTAAATGTTCTTTAAGATTATCATATTTTTGCAACACACATTTAAAAAAACGTTTATTTAAATGTTTTTCTTTCAAAAATAATAACCTATTCTCTTCACTTTCCTTATTTTTATTTCTCTCTGTAAGTAGCTAAAACAATATATTCTCTCCCTTTTCCTTCCACACTTTAGCAGACATGTTTTTACACCACATTTTTTTTTACACAGCCGCTATCTTTGTTATCATGACCTGTTTGTCATCAGGGTAAGAAAGATGGCAGTAGAGCAAAAAAAAAAAGTAGTGCGAAAACACTGAGAAAGTAGTGGAGTGGATAGAATGAATTTACATAATCCACTTCTGCAACATGCAACCTGTGAAAATACCATGCGTGGGCCTTGTTTGTAATTGAAATTACGAAATGACAATATCAATTTGTGTGTACTTTTTTGTAAACAAAACGAGGGGAAGTTCCCTCGCCCTCATACAAAAAAATATGTCAAAAGGGTAACGACACCCCCTACAGACAATCTTTGAATTGAATTTTAATTGGCAGTGTCTACACGTCCGCGCGCCGGACGTCTATCTCCCACACTATGTGTCCGGCGACCAAGTCACATGACCGCCGTAACAAAGTGGCGAGAGATATCTTGTCGGTCAGCCTTGTCACGTGACTGCGAATAATTCAAAACTATTGTTAATTTTAAAATCTATTTCTCTACCAAGTAATGTACTGAGTATCTTGAATGCAAATACTAGAAAAAGAAACTTAAGTGAAAGTGGCTTGAAGATTTCATTTTAAATTATTTCAATTGCTACAAAATATTTAAAAACTTCTCATGAAACTACTGTTGCTGAGGAACATGATAATATAAATATATACAAAATATTTTAATTAAAATGGGAAGAAAAAAATTTGACCCTAAACCCGGTATAGATCCTCAAACATTCCTATCGTCAAGCAACCACTCTACCACAAGACCAGACAAGATGTACTAAATCGTACTTCGTTTGGAATTATAAAAACTAATAGCCGTCCGGCCATGTCCGGCGGTCACGTGACAAGTCGCCGGACGTGTATCTTGTGCACTACACGTCCGGCGCGCCGGACGTGTAGACACTTCGATTTTAATTTCATTGACTATCTCATCTGAAAATATGAGTAAAAGTAAGACTGAGTATCACTATTGCATCGCTGATCATGTAATTGGCGGTAAGTTTTAGTTTATATTTTTTTATAGATAGAGTGACCCAAATTGCAAAAACCCTCAACATTATGAAGTATGAAGTTACTTGTTTTTTTTTGTGTGGGGATACTGACATTGGACTATTGGTCTGGACATTGTAAAAGTTTACTCTGGCCTTCAGAAACATTTGGTCAATTTTAGCTATCATTTTAAACAAAATGTCACTGGGCATTCCCTTTATTTATAATTATATTATTTTAATAATATTTAAATTTTATATTTTTTTTATTACCCGGTCCCTGACTTCTGAGCCGCAGTGAGTGTCTGACCAGAGATCAAATTGCTATTGTGAAATAATAATATATGTTTTAGTATTTTCTTACCAACAACCATAGTTTCGTCCGGAATTTCTTCGATAAAACATTTCCGTTCAGTTTCTCCAATATGAAAATACAGACCGGTTGAAAGATGGAAAATACTGAAAACGACCAAGGCTGTTGTCAACGCCATGTTGGCACTTCTGTAGGAAGTTTGTGTTTCGCATGCGCACTTACAGAAAGCCACGTATAGCATACAAAGGGAGTGAACTACGTTTGATTCAATTTGTTGCTATTAACAACAATTAAAAAAGATTGCGTTGAAATAATAACTATAAATTAAATCTAACATTGTCAACAAACTAAAAAGTTGTAATAGATCTGTGCAGGTACGATCTAAAAAAACACCAAGAAATAGGGGATAGTCCAGAGGCAATAATTTATATTCAGACTAGTTTAAAAATACGCAAATTATAGACTACAGACTACTCAGACTGCAGTCATCTTTGTTAAAGTTTCTTCAAATAAATGAACATGACCCAATATCCAAGGCATGGGCATGAGCCATAATACAAGTTAAACACCTCAAATAATAAAATGTAACATTTATTTTGCAATGTATGATATTTTTACGTATGTTAAATTTTATCTAGAATCGTTTGAGGATGAACGGATTTTTAAAAAAAATAAAAAAAACAAAAACCTCAAAAGATAATTTTTTTGTGTAAGAAGTTTTAAAAAGTTTAAGTTAAAGATTTACTTAAATTTTCGGTGTAAGGGGTATTTTTTTTTTAAATGCTGATGCAACGAAGTAAAAACTCATTTTACATACTAATGACTATAGCACTTGACAAGTAGCCTGTAAGGCACCATTTTAAATGTAACCAATTTAGTGGAGCTATAAACTATAAAGAACGAGAATATTACAGTTTTGTATGACACTTTTTCCCGTGCGTGAACTTTGCTTGACCCCCAATTAAATTCCTAGCACACGCTACGTTCATAATAGGCGTGGCTTAGTCCTTTGATGTGTCGTGTTTACTACCGACTACCAATTAAACATGGTTAGTCTGTCTCCTAGTTTCTTGTCGAACTTTTTCGATATGCCGAGAGACGTAAACAAATGCTGAGTAGTTTCTGGAAGGCAGGGCTTACGCTGCATATATAAAGGATCGACAGGGACGGAGATAGAGAGAGAGAGATTCAGATAGATATGATTAACTTTAAGAGACAATTGTATTATTCTTTGTGTGCTCATATGTGTTTATTTCGCATTCATCGTTATTAATTGGCACATTGTACTAATTGTGTACCGGTACAAGATTTTCCGACACTCTGTAAGTTGTTTTGTAATTGTATTATTACTAAATTAAATCTTATTAATTGTAATTGGCAACTGTTTTTGCGTGTCGTATCTTTATTATTGTATTTCTCTATGGTATCGTCCATTGTTGTGCACTGTGTGAACGAGCCAAAACTTTAAAAAAGGAGATTAAGTAATTTCTCACAATAGAAGAAAGTGTGTAACAATTACCCTATTAAGTTGTTCGTCCTTCACATGCGAAGATGACCAAGGCTATATTCCACGGTGAGCGCAGATGGCTTTCAAGTTCTGTCTGTGCCTGGAAAGCTTTCCCTCACTTGGGACACGGGTTGATTTGGATCCTAGTAGGATTTGAGTCGATTCCGCTTTTCCTTGCCGTGTGCCTTCTTCGGGCGTTAGCGGTGGGCTTATTCTGAGGATTAAGCTCGCTACGGTGAGTCTGCCACGCCAGCTTGCACGGTCCATGGCAAGTGTCTGCCACGCCAGCTTGCACGGTCCATGGCAAGTGTCTGCCACGCCAGCTTGCACGGTCCATGGCAAGTGTCTGCCACGCCAGCTTGCACGGTCCATGGCAAGTGTCTGCCACGCCAGCTTGCACGGTCCATGGCAAGTGCAGCTTGCACGGTCCATGGCAAGTGTCTGCCACGCCAGCTTGCACGGTCCATGGCAAGTGTCTGCCACGCCAGCTTGCACGGTCCATGGCAAGTGTCTGCCACGCAAGCTTGCACGGTCCATGGCAAGTGTCTGCCACGCCAGCTTGCACGGTCCATGGCAAGTGTCTGCCACGCCAGCTTGCACGGTCCATGGCAAGTGTATGCCACGAATTGAGCTCAATGTCCATGAATTTGAATCACTAGATGACCTGTAACGGTGTTTTAAAAAAAATATTGCATGATGCTTTCTGAAGTTACGCTTCTACTTTAAAATTGGTAGCATGTAATCTATTGGGGGGGGGGGTATGAATGCTGTTTATGCAGAAGAAAACATTGTGTTTCCGGTTCCATGTGGACTCAATGCCATTCGGATGTCATTTGTGGTCCTTTATTTTAGTTAAACTGAAGAAGTAAGTTTACAAATAATAAGTCAATTCAATTATCTTTCATTTGATGCCAAATTTTGTCTTACAAACCCAAAAATAATGTTAAAATTTTTTTTCAATAAACCTATACTCTGACTTCTCGCACCCGGGTCCGAATAGGCGCAGCCATAAATTATGGCATTTAACCCCCTAAATATCTCCTCCGTCCACTTTAAAGAAAGAAAATGTAATGGAATTCTTCTTCTTTTTACTTTTTAATATTTTTTTAGATCTGTTTTAAAATAAAAATGGAACGTTTTTCATGAAAAAAAACAAGAGCACTTAGAATCACCCACACATGGCCCATGGGCCGTAAATTTGGTTGTTTGACAAATGGACACATCTTTAATAGCATGCTAATTCTTCACAATGTTTGAAGGCCCGCCTTCAAACATCTCTGCAACCTCTCCAGGTATTCTGCAGGTAATTGAAAGTTTTGAACCTCCTGGCTCTACCTCCGGGTTATCCCACTTCGTCTCTGAACCAATCAGATAAAACTGAGTTTGATGCCGAGCACGTCTCAACGGCGCAGCGGTCTCCCCCCCCCCCCTTTTCTTTCTTTCTTTTCTTTCTCTCTATCTTTCTTTCTTTCTTTCTTTCTTTCTTTTCTCCGTGTCCCTTAACGATGATGCCGAGCACGTCTCAACGGCGCAGCGGTCTCCCCCCCCCCCTTTTCTTTCTTTCTTTTCTTTCTCTCTATCTTTCTTTCTTTCTTTCTTTCTTTCTTTTCTCCGTGTCCCTTAACGTGCAATATCACGCCGCGCACAATGCTCCCATTCACAGTGTCACGCATTAACTCGCAAATGAATTTCTAATCATTCCAGTGGGGTGTAACCACTCATCGCGAGCCATCGTTGGGGACGGAATGATAAAATAACACGATCAGAAGAGCAAATAACCAGGGCAGCGGAGCGTGGCAGCGGGTCATTCTTTGACCAGCGGTGACAAATACACCGTACGATATGTCAGTTAGGTTCCTCTTGAGCCTTCGATTTTCAAGGTGAAAATGGTGCTACAAAAGTTCGTAGCTCGGTGTTACTGAATGTATCTGGTTTAAGAGATATTTCTGCAGACACTAGAAGGTATGCAAAACATTTAGATTATGCCAAATGTTGCTTGATGCGATTCAAACAGTAGGCTCAGTAGGGAAATTCCTGAGGCTTGTACTTTTTCTTAGCTTTCCCCTCTTTGTTATTATTTTAATATTTTACAAGTTGAGGATAGCAATACGATTTAAGAGATGCCAAGGTATTTTAATTTTCAGCATGATAATACTCATTTTCAAATAAAATCGGTCAAATTAAGCGTTGAATACGGTTATTGGTTGATTAAAGAATATCAAATTTAAGTTCTTCAGCATAGTTTACAATATGCCAATAGTTTGACGCATGAAGCTATCTTAATTAATTAGTGTAAATTTAAGGACCAAGAAATATCCTCTTCAATACCAGGCACAGAAACATGGCGAATCCCTCTACATACATAGGAGCCATAATTATCAGTACACTCATCGTGAGCCCTTAAAAGATAGAATAAGAAGAGTATGTTGTAATAAAACTTTTATGCGAAGCAATCGTCCACTTCCATACATGACCATGCTTGAACTTATAATAAGTTGCATTTTGGTTAAATAATCCATAAACTCCCTAAAATCAACGTATAATCCGCCATAAATTTCACCATTTATAGCAGGTGCTATAAATCAATACATCGTTAGGCTCTGGGCAATAAAAGTGGCAACCGTGAGAACACAAGAGCTCGGGCTTCGACCCATAGAGCTAAACCCTCTATAAGGCGATGAGATTCAATCACACCCAACTGAGGCATCATTACGGCCAATGACATTTTCTCCATACTCGCTCGGTGTATTTACAAGGGTTGCCTCTATTAAACCACAACCATTGTAACACGTTACATCAACAAGCTGAAACCGCTGTATACACTTCTGTCAGTGATCCGGGATGCGATCAACACTGTGGTTCCCGTCGGAGCGAGGTTGGCGTGGTAACATTCTTGTACTCAAGACAAGTAAAACATGAAGATGACCGCACCAAAGCCCCCCCCCCCACATACACCCCTTTCCCCCCCCCCCCCCTCCCACAAACACGCACGTTCCCGTTTCTTCTCAGAGACCTGTTGAGTGTTGTAAATCAAAACTTTGTGCCTCCTGTTATTTTACCATCGTCACAGCCATTGTTGGCCGTAATAATCTTATCCCAGTATAAAAGGATTCACTAAGTCCTGTGTGTCCCGGCTGTGCGCAGTGACAACGGGCCGTCTCCACGCCCTTTACCATTAACCCACGTCGTTGCCACTTGACAAGTTATTCACTGCGTGGGGGGAGGGGAGGAGGACAAGAGAGGGAAATCAGTGTCAGTGACAGACTCAATGGCTGGGAGGCCCACGTCATCGTATTGTTGTTCTAATGTAGATCAAATGACCAACGTCCAGTTCGTTTCAGAAAACGGTTACAGGATTATCGCCCCGGGAAACGGCAATGGCTGTGTTTGTGGAGGTTAATCAAGCTTCTGGTATAGACAAGGAATCGTTTGCCCCGGTATCGTCATCAGTGAGAGGGGTTGGGGGGGGGGGGGGATCATCTTCATAAAAATGGCAACTATTAAAGGTTGTGGTAGACAGGAACGAAGGCGCACATATTGCTCCTCAGATAAGGTCAACAATAACCTTTTTTTTTTAAAGTCATAACAAAGCATAAGATGTTACCCTCGTGTATTTTGTTGTCTTGATTTAAATGTGCCCATGACGAATATATGGGGTTATATATAATCTCCAATTGGAATTTAATTTCGAGTGA